TACAGATTAAATGGTGCCATGCAAGTAGCCACTCCCAATGTCTTGGAAACACCCACCACCCTGGGAGGGAGAGGAGTTGGAGATGCAAAAAAGGTGAAATCACTTCCTGGCCAATGCATCAGAAATGCCACAGAAACTAAGGGAAGAAAACCCCAAGCTGAGAGCCAGAAGCAGTTTTACTGTATGAATACAATAGCCCAGCAGACAACAGTCTAAAGGCTGAAGGCCATTCAGCTCAACAGAGCCTTTTATACCCTCTCTGTTCCCTTACCCACTTCCACAGCAATCCAGTGATATATATTTTGATTGGTTGTATTGAGTTTGCTTAATAGAGAATGCTCATCTGCCCCATAAGCAAGCAGCAGAATTAACCACAAGCCATCTCTAGTGCAGGGGCAAGGAATCCAGCTATAGAATAGGCAGTGAGGCATTGCAAAGTGCTGACCAGCCTGTTGCAGGCATTTCCTGTTAACTTCTCGGGGCCTTCTACCATGCCATGTGCAAAACTACTCCCAACTACAGAACTGAGCCCAACTGACCATCAACAGGGAAGAGCTGAAGAGATCCCGGGACAACTACTGGGGTATGGAGAGGGAAAGAGCGTGCAAACGGCAATCTCTATGAGCTGAGATGGGAAGAGGGGAGAATATGCCACAAAGGCGAGGAAATCAAAGTCACAGAATACTTAGGATACTTTGTTGTTGTCAATGTGCTTGTTTAAAAAGGAGCTAGGAGAAAATAAAATGAGAATACAAAAGAAAAAAAAAAAAAGCAGAGTGACTACCCATACACCCTCAAAGGACATTTTTAGAACAGTCTGGCAAGACACCCAAACAATTAAAGTGCACACTTGGCTGGGTAGGAGTGAGGCTAAGCTGAAGAAGCCCTTGCTTTTTACTCCAATGTCCACCTGCCTAATTATGATGCTTAATGCTATCATTTTTAGAAGACAAAACCACGTAACACAGAAGCTACTATCCTTCTCCCCTCTGCCCATTTAGACTATGTGTGGCAGGGGAGGCAGAGAGGCCCACTGAGGTTGAAATTGGGACTCACTCTTAGTGCTTTTCCACCTTATTCAGTGAGACAGACAGGGTCTCCTGGTCAAAGCCAGCGCTTGCTGGTGTGGCTAGTCTCCCTGACCAGCTGGCTCTGCCCCCCGTGCCTGGACAGGAGGGCTGTCACTAGCATTTTTGATCGCCATACTGGCATACTAAGCACTTTAACAACTGGGCAATCTGCCCAGTCAGAATGTACTCCATCTTCTTTAGCCTTTTGTTAAAAACAAAAGAGAGCAGGACTATAACTTACTAGTGTAGGAAACGCTAAAACCCAATCAAAGAGAATAAAGAAGCAAGGCCAGTCTGGTCTACATGAGTGAGTGCCAGGAGAGCCATGGTGGTTACACAGGGAAACCCTGTCTCAAGAAACTAAAGAGAGAGAGAGAGAAAGAGAAAACGAAGAAGCAAAACAGAATTATATATGCACAACTGCTGAGACCTACAAAGATTCAAAGCAACTACCACAACTTTATTGTTTCTGTAATGGGCTCTGGACAAGGTGAAGACAAAGGAGACAAGGACAACAGTGACTCTATCACAAATGAATGTTACAAGTCTCCAGTGGTTCAACACAGGAAAATGTATAGAAAGAAAAAACCCAGAGAAATATAAATATTCAGATATTTGCAGCACAATACAATGTCCTTAAAAAACAACAAAGCAGTATTTTTGTAATGGTATATGTAACTCTGACAGTAATTTAAAATGCCAACGTACACCTTTTCCCTATCCTCCCCTATAATCTAGACTGAGGATTGCAGAATTATAAAAATATACAAATAAAAACATGTTTAGTGCTCAGAGACAAATAATTCTCCTTATTTCAATGCATCAAGATGCAATTATTAAATTCAGGAATGCCAGTTATATGCAGATAAATAAAACAGACCAACAATACTTTTATAATCAAACCCAACTAACATTATACTAAAAATATATATGCGTATATGTATCTATATACACCACACCTATTTTAGAAAAAAGGTGCCTTGGTGAAAATGATTCTGAAAATATTCACTGATGAACGTTATGTATGAAACCTTCTATGTAAAAAATTAAACTATTTTTGTGCAACTTCACGGTTTCACCCCACCTGAAAACTACTGGAAAGACATTTCACGCTGACATGGTCCTAAGGCAATTCCTTCTATAGTGGTTCTCCACCCACTCAACACCAAGATGGCAGCACAGACAAGAGGTCACATAGACACAACCTGACATACCTCTGTGGCACTCCCTGGAACTCTACTCACTCTTAAAACCAGGAAGTTTACAGTTGCTACAAAGACTTATCCTAAAATGCAGTTTCTCTAGTACAAATTAAGCACTCGAGATATTAAGAGGCTGAGAAGCCACTTCATTTGGTTTCTCAATAGCCCTATAAGGAATTCTGTATTGGAACAGCTAAACAAGTTCTCACTGAATTAGCATTGCATCCTTCACCTGCATAGATTCAATTTGGCTTAATAGCTCTTTGTCCCAGAACATCAGTCTGGTTCACATACATTCCTAACTAAAAGTCCATCTCATTTATGAAAAACAGATTCCAGATTCCATAGTAGTACCATGAGAATATATAGAATAATAAAGGTTTCTAAAATCTGTTGATGAACCTTAGAGCATTCCTCAGTGGGAGTAACTACCAAGGGTCCAAGTATAAAGAAAGACAGAAGAGTGGGACAATGAAGTTGACTGGATTAAATATTTATGTCAATAGTAATGTCTAGTAAACAAATGAAATGACAAGGTACCCCGAGCTACTCCTTCTATAAGCACTGAGGACCTGAAGCATAAAGGGAGTAACTCAATACACTAGAAAAGGAGAAGAGTCTGAGGCAAGAGTTGTAGGTGTGTAAATATATATTTTATGTGCACACATAATGTGTGCATTACTCTCTATATAATTACATACATATCCACAAGATGCCCTGCAGCACAGTTCTAAAGGCCTTGTCAAGGAACAAACTACTTCTAGCACAGGCCCTAGAGTTCATACTATCTGCATAAGAAACCAATGTGCATGTGCTCACAGCATAAACCTTAGCAACAAAACATTGCTATAACACTAGGAGAAATCATAGGTTTTAGGCTGATGGATCTTTTTCACCATTATCAATCAGCAATTTAATCACAATATTTCTTACATGGAGAATCAAAAATAATAGCAACAAAACTACAACTGGATTTTGAATTCACAAGAGGTTTGGTAAGGTAAACAAACAAAGTTCAATTTCCAGAGTAAGAATATCAAAACTTTATAAATCTCCCAAGATGCAGTTCAATTACTACATCATTAGAAAAATAGAATCATAGAATGAGCGGCGCCGGCTAAGCATTCCCAACACATTGACCCGTATGTTTATCTCTTTCCTCTTTTGTTTCCAGCTGGAGGTCTCTTCAACTGAAGGAGTTGTCCTCCTGTTCCAAACCCCGCAGAGGCAGGATTGGACACCCCAAATGTCAAACCAGCTGATGCCGTGATGCCAGGATTGCTGAAGTTAAACCCAGACGTACTTGAGCTGCCAAAGCCTTATGTTCAGGGAAGAAAATATTCAAATGAGAAGTTAAATCACAAAACAAATATAAAAAACAGGGAGGAGTGGAAATTTTTATCTGAGAATACACAATTTATAAGAGTAGGAAATGCCTATGGCCCCTGAATTTCTAACGTGGAACTTCACAGAAAAATAATTTAGCTAACAGCTAAAAAGCACCTTGAGAGACAGAAGTCTGGTGATACTGACCAAGAGAGCAAGCTAGCACACACAACTGAAATCTGCAGGAAAATTCAAGCTGGCATGAACTTCCTTGTCTGTATGCTAACATGTTTTACATGCTATGTGCATAAAATTACATCATTATGTACATATTATGTTAGTGTCTTCCTACTCAGGCTCACCAAATACATTTCAGAAAAGACCTTCAAGGCATCTGGACCTGTCCTTAAATCCTGAGCCCTTCAGGAAAACCTCAACCCAACTCAATGTTCAAGACAATGCCAATAATGTGTATTATAAGAACCTTCATAATGAAGAGCAAGTGTTCTGACTACCTGGTTATCAGATGTAGTATTTAGATTCTAGTCCTAATACCAATGATTACAAATCTTACTCTATTACTGGCACCGCTGACTTTAAATACTTCTGATAGTAAGTGGAATTTCCTAAATTTGAACACATTTTTTAACAGTGTTACATCATTATTTTAGACTTGCTATTATCCCTACACATTACACATCAGGACAAGTATTATTTACAAATATAAAGTGGAAAGGTAAACATATTTTTGAGTTTTCTACTAGGAGTAGATTAAACCTATTTAAAAATGAACAAAGAACCAAGTTGATCATTATTCATAAACTACACTACCCCTTAAAATCAGAGGTACTAACAACGGAAGATGACCTGTTTGGAGGGAGATGACTCTCATAGTTGACTGCCTGGTGGTACAGGCCTACAGTGTCAGCTACTTGGGAGGCCGAGGCAGGAGCATGAGTGCAAGGCCAGCCTGGACAACTCAGCGAGATTGTGGCTCCAGGTGAAAAGTAAAAAGGAGGCTAGAGAAATAGCTCAGTGGTACAGTCTTTGCCTAGCATGGGTAAAACCCTCATGTTCACCCCCAGTACAAAAAAAAAGGTTCTCCAGGATGGAAAAGCAAACCACCAAAATATAACTACTGGGTTACTGGGGGTGTAGAAGGAAGCCTTCAACCATAGTCACTCACTAGGATTCAAAAGAATCTCTAGTTAAATGTTTCTAAGTCTTGTTACATACAACCATGAAAGGTAAGGCTACACAATTTAGTCAGTCAAACCTGCTTCCTCAGAGTAAAGTGAATTAGAGATCTTCAGGGGTTACTGAGAGTAAGAACGTGTGTCATCTTCAGTTACATGATTTGTACTTTTTCACGTGCCTGCAACTCAGGCAGAAGCACACAAACCTGCACTAAGACTTCCTGAGGGTTTATCTGTTGTTCCAAATCCAAATGTGGAGGCCCCTGTGGTGCCGCATCCGAAACCAGAGCTAGCTCCAAATCCTAGTGGAGGTAACAGAGAAATACACAGTGCACATAAAACACAGATTACAGGCTGCTCACAACCAACCAACCACCACCACAGCTCAAATAAACGCAGTGTTCACAGTCTCCGTGACCTCAGACTTCCTGAGCAGATTCATTCTCAATAAAACACTACTTTATCCAGACTAGCTCATGACCTAGCAGCAATTTTTAAAAACGAAGCTACTAAAGTCAAGATCATATTGGTTTTTTGACCACTGAAATGACTATAGACTATTAAATATATGCCTAGCTGAAGCATTATTTCGTTTTGTAAAAATAAAATGGCTGACTAAATTCATAAGCAAGCATGACTTGTACAACAGTGTAAACATTACAATATTCCAAGGTACATGCTTTCTGATCCGTACTAACCACAGGGCAGTTAACTACCTCAATCTACTCTGTTACATTAAATTTTGCCATGGTACTCTCCATGTTAACATTGACAAACTGTCTTCCCTCCTCAAACATATTTTTCATCATACAAAGCCCATGAAGAAATTCTAAGTACTCAAAGATAATTAACCAGGAATTCTCTATACAAACTCCAAATTATTGTTGTTGTTGTTATTGTTGTTTTGGAGACAGAGTTTTATGTTATTTCCTACATAGCTGAGGATGGCTCAGCACTCGCGATCCTCTTGCCTCCGCCTCCTGAGTGCTGGCACTCCAGATGTGCACCACTGCTCTCTATCTGCAATTAGCGGGAACCAAGGCTTCATGTGTGCTGGGTGAGCACTCTACCAGCTAAGATGCACCTCCAGCAAAGTTCAAATCCCTTTTGCTATTCTGCAATGGCTTACTGAAATACTAAAGTTGAAAGTGAACTATCACTGCTTATAAAAACACTACGGAAACTGGACTGTGGTCAGGAGGGATTATGCTACCTGTTGTGGTTCTAAAATTCTCAATTAGAACAGTTTATATATTAAATAACTGTGGTAGCTTGTAGCTTCTCTTTATATTTTAGTGTAACCTTCATACAGGAACTCATTACACTATCATCCTTTTATCAAAATATAATAAATTCTAAATTATCCACAAAGAATTGTGAGTGCATTTATAATTAACATGCTTTTATAGACTTACCTTACTAAGTTATGAAACAATTAGAATAATCTGAATTGCTTATGTACACATATAGTCAAAATGCCAAGAGTACAAAGAAATGACAAAAGTTGAGCTGTTTAATTTACAATAAAATGAATTACATTTAAAGAGGTCACTCTCAGGTAAAAAAGATAATGATCAGGAATATATACATATGATCTAGATGTAAACTGGATTTCCAAGGTATATTAGAACTATTTTTTAAAACTTTAATTAAAACTAAGTTGATTTAAACTAATTCTCAAGTTCCCACTTCAGCATTCTGATTGGAACACACAAAACTCCCTGCACTTAGTTTTAGCGCTTTTTTATATCTACTTTCCACAGAGGACAGAATGACTTTTTAAGCTCTGAAGCTAATGCTAGAAAGCAACGACTTTGTTTGGAGAATCCTTTTTGCCAGATGGAACCTTAACTTCCCAAATAGCAGCAGATCCTCTTAGAAATGTGTTCTAGGCTACCATCAGTTCAAATGTAATAACTCAATGAAATATGAGAAAAGGGAAAGTGTACCTCCAAGGTTTGAAGAACCTAAGCCACTTGATTGCAAGCCAGTGCCAATACCTGAGCCGAATGGCGTTCCAAAACTAACTCCCAGAGATGGCTGTGGCCCTGGTATGAAAAAAAAACGGGGAGGGGAAACAAATTTGCCTTACTCTTTCAAGATTAAAGTTCCTATATGAGATTATTTTTAAACTGAACATTGATTACTTTTTAACAAATTCCATGTTAAAACTATGATTTCAAGATGCCTTTCTAACCTAGCTTATCTATCCCAAATGTTTTATCTGAGAAAGAATTTTTAATTAATCTGCTTATAGCTACATAGTTAAGAGGCTTACCACAATGAAAAATGTTCAAAAGTTTAATGTACTAATAGTTTGAAATATTTAATGCATCACAAATTATAGTTTTTATATTTCTAGAATTGTTTTAGTTCTCTCTACTTGTTTTCTGATACAACTATTTGGTGTAATAAGTAAGGTTTTACTTTCCTTTTTTAAAAAACAAGCTCCCAGTATTAGAGTCAAGTCCCAGTGATCAAGAGACTGACACTAACATAGCAAAACTATCATGTTACTTCATAAGTACCCAAAAAATTAGGCATGACTTCTTATGGTATAGAAATGGTATATATAATAGATAAAAAACAAGACAATGCTTTATTTTATTTAATTTATTGTTCATTTTAAAAGCAAACCAATTACACAGTAACATGACAATTCCAACTTGTTCACAAAGTTATTGAGTTCTATCCTTCAGCTCTGCTACATTTCACCACTCATCACCTGATTAATGAGATCAAGAATGAATATTCACAAAGGCACGCGTGTACCTTGACAGACCCAATACATTCAAGACTTCAGAAGCTCCAACATTCATGAAAATGCACCCAAAATCAGAGCCGTGTGTCATCCTCTCCACACTGCCACTTTAGGGATTTTGGCTGAGTTTGTTTGGCAAGAATAGCATCAAACTTACTAGCCCCTCATGGTAACTACTTTTCTTTAGTTTCTAAATTAAGCAGAACACAAAAATCTAAGAACTGTCATTTGATATTGATTTATGGAAACTCCTCAGTAAGCCTCATAGTACAGTCTTAGCCCTGGCCTCTGCACGCAGTGGTTAGTACATCTCAGAGCCAAGGGAATGCCAAAGACACATGCATCTTCAAATTTAACTTCCAAGAAATCAAAGCCTTCACGCTGTCCCATGAAATATGAGGTTTGTCTATTCAAAAGGTAGTGTAAAGTTATAAAGCACAAACAACAACAAATTGAGGAAGGACATTTTGCTACCCTGGGACAGAAACTGGACTTTTCAAATAGCTTCTATCCAGAAAACAGAATAACTAAATAGCAGCCAGAGTTCTTATACTACTGTTACAAAAATAAATTAAAAATATTTTTAAGATTTTACATCCAGTTTGAGAGATTAATTTCAGAATACAGGCCTGACTAGCAGCTCTTTCCTCAACTGTTTCAACAGGAACAAAAGCTCGCTGACCCCTTTCTCGTGTCTAACAAAAATAACAGAGAGCACATGTCCAGTTTCTTTACATGGGGGACTGTCACACTGTAGCAGGAGGCACTGCTGGTGGAGACGCTAAAGACCAGTGCACACCACAGTCCTCAGCCTTCCACATCGGGAGACATCCCAAGGCATGGTTTGCCATGTGTGGGTCCATTTTTAAGAGCGACAGAACAGTTTCTGCAGTCATCATATTTAGGACATCAGAATGCATCTGACAGTGACAAGACTCCCATTGCACAATAGATGCGAGATAGTATGAGTTCTCTACCTTCACACAGATTCTGAAGGCAACATCATTTAGAAAACTAGTAGGCAAATGTATAACATTTTAAGTAGTAAGAGCTTATGATAACTTATCTCACACGCCAAAGTGTTAACATATATGATACTCTGGCCACCATATATATTAGTTTCACTATCAGAAAACAGATTCTAAATCCTTCAGGTAGAAGCTATGTAAACAATTCAAGTCACTTTGAAATCTGAACAGTCATTCAATAAGAGGCTCTTAGTTCCACAAGTGAAATCAAATCAATAAATATAAACCAATGATTGCCTAGGGTGAAATTTCCATGTAAAGAAACATTTTACAAAAGTTTCCATGATAAATTCACACAACAAAATCAGGTTTAGCACTGTAATTTATATTTTCTAGAATAAATATTACCTTGTTTTAATGTAAAACTACATTTATAGGAAAAGGACTAAAGTGCTAGAATTTCTTATAATTTTCCAAGGTCACCAAAAATGTCTAATATAATTACCACCATTACTTGTAAGTTACCTTTTAAAATAACAAAAATGCCTTCCCCTGGTAAGAAAAACTAATTCTTGTTACTTCTAATGGGGAATGTTCCTTTGGTTATTAAAGCAACAAAATCACAAATCCACAAGAAACTAAAATGAAATACTTAACATTTCTGATTTAACTCTACACCTTAAATGTCCAAACCTTCACCTAAAGCTAGAAAGCAGGAATTCCTCACAAATGCCTCAGCCCTCCTGAAAAACAGCAGCTAAGTCACAGGAGAAAAGTCTTCTGTAAACATCAACAACTTTTAAGTGTGAAAACACAACAAAAAAATTTAACCTTAGTACACAGATTGAAAAAAAAAATCCATCCTAAATCAAGATCATGTTGAAAAATCCCAATATGAAATCAACTAAGGTTTTTGGGAGGTTTGAGGACCATTTGTGGACAAATGTATATGAACTTATCCATGCACTGATGCTTATTTTATGCATGAATAGCCTACTGGGTTTTCATGAACTCAGCCTTCATAACAAACAGCCACAAATTGAACATGCCTAAGTCCAAACATATATTTGTTTTCATTAAAAGAGAATGGAGGGTTGGGGAGGCAGTTCAGTAATAGAGTATATGCTTATTAGCACATACAAGGTCCTGGGTTCAATCCCAGTACCACCACCACCACCACCACCACCACCACCACCACCACCACCACCACCACCACAAAACAAAACAAACAAACAAAACCAAAAACAATAAGTCATTTAAAATTAAGTCCATCCTTCCACCTCCTAGAAAGACGAGAAAAAAAGCAGCCTAAAAAAAAAAAAGCAACACTCTAAGAAGAGCTATCGTCCTTGTGTCCCTGTTTACACCAATTAAACCAAGAATCCATATGTAAATAAACCAAATACTTTAATAACTCACATCTTTACAATGACTATTGTGTATAAAAACATTATACAAGTTCTGTCCAGTTTCTCTAGATGGTTTTAAATTGGGACTTAGAAGGATTTCATGAAAAGTAAGTACTACATGGGAGTACTTCCCTGGTACAAAACAAAACATAAAAGGGCTTTACTAAATGGGATGCAATTTCTAACATCATTATCCATGTATCTAACAGAACTTCTAAATGTCACAATCCAGTGTCCTAACTAAGAACTAAACTAGCATTTGTAATGGGAGGGTACAGAGTGACTACAGAGTCTGGGAGAAGCTTTCAGGGAAACAAAATGGGGAAAAAAACAGAATGCAAAATTGTAACCTCTGTTGTTTATCAATAGTTCAACAACTTGATACAACCCAAAAGTACAAACACTGTAAGATTACTAAGGTTGATAAATTCCAATTCCTGCTACCTAACTAGAAAGACTTAAGTACACCCTAAAACTACAAGAACACACTAAAAGCAGTTATTTCCCCTGGTTGGGGGACGTGGGGTGTGGTGAGGGGGTAGCCTGGTAAAAGCACAGGCAAAATTAAAGCGCTTGAGCTGAAGCTCCCAAGAATTCCTGCAAGGTTAAACAAATAGTCTCTACATGACACAGAGCAAAGGCCTTTGCTGTCTTCTCTACCTTTGCATTCCACAAACCTACCTCACAGGGACATCCATTTACAGAATAAGCATCTGTGCCCTATAAACTTCTCAAGATTACATAGTCTATACAATTAAAAAAAAAAAAGCCAGGCATGGTGGCACATGCCTTTAATCTCTGCACTCTGGAGACAGAGGCAGATGAATCTCTGGGTTCCAGGGTAGCCAGGATTCACAGAGGAACCCTAGTCTCAAAAACTTAAGAAAAAGAGAAAGCAAAGCACTCTGACAAGTGATTTTGCTTCATATTTAGTTATTTACCATAGAAGAGATTAACTTAGAGCTCAAGAGTTTAGACAGCTCACTTTTCTCGTTTTATTTATTCTCTTGAAAATAAAGTATATTAACACATCTCCAACTCACATTTCTCTGACAACTGAAAAACCACACTATTAGGATTGATACTCCATTACTCCAGAGCAAAGCCTCTCCCCATGAACTGTCTATAGAAGTCTACACTCTAGCCAGCTAGAGAGCTACTAGATAGTGCTTATGGGAAGCACCATTCACACAGATCCAGCCATGGAATGTGGAGGACTGAGCCTAAGTCCATCAGCAACTCTTTACTGATGGCAGGTCAATGCTGTCATTCAAATATGAAGACAGTGACTAGAGCATGCTTCTCTAGTACAGGTGGCCTGAAAGCAACCCAAACATGTATTTTGTTTGGTTTTCACTTTTTAATATTGCAGTTTACTACTGGATTATATAGAATATGTCAGAAAGACATACACTACAGAATAAGTAAGCCTCACTCAAACATTTTTAAATGACCAAGGGCAAAAAGGGAAACTACTAAGACTGCATTTTCTGTCAAACTTGAAACCTTATTTAAAAAAAAAAAAATACCAGGAACAAGACAACTAATCAACTTGCAAAATTCCAAACCAATCACTGAAGAACCACACCACAGAAACACTACAAATGGTGTTCAACGAAGGACTACAGTCCTACATAATGTACAATCCATCTCAAACCTTCTTCCTGACCTTGCTACTGTTCAGTCCATGCTGGAGTTACAAAAACCCAGCATGCATTTCTTCCAATCTGGTTTGGACTTTCAGAGGACCTGTCATTTTGTTTTCAGTCAAAGTACATCCAAATGAACCTATTGACTTTCAACACACCAACAGTCAACAGAAACATACTGCATTCAGAATGCAAGTACTCTGCAATCATTACGTATGAGACGAAGAATGCACCATCTATTATTTTCATACCTAGAAAATGCAATGTATGGGTGGGATTACCTCTGAGTTTAAAACAATAAAGGATACAATCACAACTTGAGAATCTAATGTTTCTCTTAAATATAATTCAGTAGTGAAACACTATGTTCTAAAGGGCATTTAGCAATACAGCAAATAACAGTAACTAAATTCACAATATTCAACATCTGATGTATTAATTATTGCTAGACTACCCTGCCTTTTGTTTCAGGTATGTTTATAATTGTGTCTATCACAATTTTTAGATTTGTATTGGAACAACTATTGATAGAAATTTCGTCAGTGCTCACACAAAAGGAAGACTTATAAAAATGCACATATTGTTCTCTGCATTTGAACAGTAAGAAGCTATAACTTGAATGCATTCAGACCTGTAGCAGGCTGTTGCTGCTGTGTAAGTGTTGCAGCCATGGCAACGGCTGCTGCATTTGGCATGGTGCTGAAAGGAGTAGGTCCAGTAGTAACTCTGGGTGCATTCTGCCACTTCTTGGCTTCCGTTCTCCTGGCTTCAAACACATCTACAGCATCACCCAAAAACATTTTTCTGTAGCTGAGGTACTGTTCTTTAAGCACCTAAAATAATGGGAGGGAAGGAGGAAAGGAGGGAGGGAGGGAAAAGAAATTAAGTTCCCTGTGGAGAGCATGGAATCACATGAACTAAGTTGGCAAAAGTCAAAGACAGTGGCCACGTTATTCACTGCAGTTCCAGGTGAACTACAAACGAGGCTGCTGACAACTGTCGCTGACGTGACAAGGTTGGCCTTGAAAGCTCTGTCACTGCTGTGAATAATGTTGGTTACTACTGTCAGAAATCTTTAAAATACGCACCTAAAATATCCCGGTTGTTACGTAGGCTAAGATTATAGGAAAGCAGAATAATATTTTAATAGATATTACAGTTATCACCTAAGCTTTCCCTTAAGCACCCAGTTTTCTTATAACCTTTAGATGGAAGTACTAAATATATACCAGTTAAATAAACATTTTTAAATGAGTGGGTACCATATGATAAAGGAAGATTTCATACTTTTAGCACAGAAAGCCTGAGGGTATAAGCAGAGCTTTGACTTTGTTAATACTATTTAACTATTTCACAAGATGTACGACTGTATACCCAACTACTCCTTCTCATCCCAAAGATGAGTTTTACAACTCCAGAGTAAGAAAAATTAGCAAGTTACCTAATGCAATATTAAGGCCATTAACCCCATTTCACATTAATTATTAAACATTTTTATTACAGATCTAGCCTAATTATATAGATTTGAAGAGATTTTTTGTATTTCTTACCTTTCTTAAATATTAAACTCTGCCACTATCACAAACACACTTAAAATTTTACTATTACTTACAGTACTTAAAGCTATTATCATCCTTTTATGTGTCTGCTCATTTTTAATACTCCAGTTCCAAGATACTGTTATCAAGGACCAAAGTAGACCTGCTAAGAACTGAATATTTAGAAATGTGACATTAATAGCAGGTGAGGGAAATAAATCTCATTACTATTCTCAAGTCCATTCTTCCTTTCCCTGTGTTCCATAAACATTCCCACACACAATGCAACTTCCCAAAATGAGAAGGGCCCAAGACTTCACAAAAACCTTTTTAAAGGTGGGTAGGGGAGGAACCAACCACATACCTAATACCAGTCATGGTATATATGATGAATAATAAAACTCCCCACTTTGTTAATGTCGCTGGGGTGTGCTGGATAAGGCAGTTCAAGTCTCTTTCAATTGGGTTAACAAAAACAAAGGAACAAAGACAATTTCTTGTGAGACTCACAAAGATGCACAAATCTAAAGCTTGTATGTTTAGCTTGCTCACTCCTTCAGATGAAGATAAATGGTAACATACTTTTCTGGAGAGTTGTTATCCAGGAAATTTGACATAAGCTAGAGTCATTTAGAAAGACAGACTCTCAAATAAGAGCATGTCTCCGTAACACTGGCTTACTGCCAAGTCTGCCAAGTATTTTCTTAATTAGCTATTGATGTGAGAGGACCTAGACCATCATGATTGGTGCCAACCTGGCCAGGTGGTCCTGAGTTCTATGAGAAAGCAGGCTGAGCAAGCCATGGGGAGCAAGCCAGTAAGAAAGACTCCTCTATGGCTTCTGCTTCAGTTCTTGCCCTGACTTTCCTCAGTTATGAGTATGACCTGAGATTTCTAAGAGGAAATCAATCCTTTCCTCCCCAGGTTGCTTTTGGTCATGGTGTTATCACACCAACACAAGTCCTAACTGAAACACATAAGAAATCTGATCAGAGTCAAGTCTTTGATTCTTGGAAATGTATTCAAGTAAACAAGAAACAACTAGGGAAGCTGAACTAGGAGCTCCAGGCCTATTTAGACCCTGTCCCAAACAGAAAACAGATTAGAGACTGTAACAGATTATCCAAGTATCATTTATGGCAATTTCAGCCTATTTTCTGGCCTCATTACCAAAAAGGCTATTTTTCAAAGCAGAGGGAAGGAAGTCCATTGCAGACAACTTTGTGATGAGGCCTGGTATCAGAGGATAACGCAGGATATAACACAGTGAAGGCTTGCCTGTGATGTAGAGTGAGTTCAAGGCTGATCTGTGTAATTTACTAGCTCACAACCATTTATAACTCCAGTTCCAGGGGGAACTGATGCCCTCGTCTAGCCTCCAAAGGCACTAGGGACATACATGGTACACAGGTATGATTGCAGGCAAACACTCATACACATAAAAATAAAGTAACTTTTAAAGAAATTTAAAAATCATCAAAGAAACAAAAGCTCTGAGAGTGGCATAATGATCAAACAATCAGGGGCTGATGATGGCTGAGGTGAATCAGAGGAACCTAGGCACTCCATTATACAATGTTCTACTATTTTGTTTGTTTGGAAACATTCATAATAAAGTAATTTTAAAATCAGCATAAGACATACCTCACACAGAACCACCTTTGCCAATTTAAAATCTTAAAGCAACATTTATCAATGATAAAAGAAAGTCTTATAATCTTCCTTCAGAAATTTTCTTAAAAATGCTTTAGTTTCCAATTTGCTGGTATGTGCTAAAAATTTTTAAATGACCCAGTTTAAAACAGTTAGCTTTTTAAAAACTCCATTACCACGAACCAAGCTGATATGAACATAATGAAATGTCTACATAATTTACTTATTCAGGTTTAGCATCTTTGAATTTTCAAGGTTTTCTAGAGTATACATAACTAAGAACTTAATTTAATTAAACTGCAAAAAGAAAAAGTATACTTTATTTTACATTTCACTTAAATTAAGAGCCATCTGTTTTGCACATTAATAAAAATTTAAAACTAACATTATTACATAAAGATCAAACTAGTGACAAATTATTTCATTTACATTACTCAATATATATTACTTAAATAAACATTATATTATTTGGAAAGAAGGTTTCCTGTACTTAGAAGAAATTGTAACCAAGTTTTCTTTAACTTTATGATAAATAAATATTAATAAAACACACATTAGACTAAGTTGGCATAAAAAAGGATTTACCACTAGGGATGTTTGTTTTTTATAGTTTGTTTTTATATTTATACCGGGAAAGAAGGAAACAATCTGAATGTCAGTTACACAAGCATTACACAAACACACAATCACCTTCTATAAGGTATCAAGAACAGTGATGAAGGAAAATGGCATTGAATCAAAGTTATTCTCAAGGTCCTATTTTAAAGCTTTCATTTTATTTTTCTTTTTAGTTTTTATCAATGAATGCATCCGAGTATGATCATGAGTTATGGCCTTTTTACTTACACATCATTTGAGCTCTTTCTGAACGAGCATGGAAATATGTTAGCAGATAAACAAGTATTTGGATTTATATATGTGACAGGTGAATTGGCAATGAACGCTTACCTTGACATTTTCATGAATAGATTGAAGTTGTGCAGCTAAAGCTACAAATGTTTGATAAATTTTCTGCATAGCCATTGATAAATCTAGAAGAGAAAATTAAGAAACAAATATGTAACAATTAATGTTATTTTTCTACTACTCTGTCCTAGTTTGGGTAGTTAATGTGTAGAAGGAAAAGCCTCTATCAATGTTCTTTACACTAAAGAAGACAGGAGGCTAAGAAGACAGAGAAGGCCATTTCCATCAGTGACCTGGAAAGGAAGGGGACATTCTAGACAGTCCCCTGTCACAACAGTAACGACTTACAGTAAAGCATTCTACATTTCCAGGGAACCAAGACTTACCAAAGACTTTCTAGGAAATTTTCTTAAAGCAGCTTAAGATAAGCACTAGCAGTTGTTTGCACATCTGTTACACAAGTTTAACTGCTCATCAATAACATAATGGTGCCATCACAAAATTGTCATAGTAGGGATGTTACCTTGAGGGGTTATATGTGAATTGTTTGCTTGAGTGGCAAGATGATTTTCTAGTTCTTCAATCTGCTGCCTGTACTGCTGAAGCTGTACCTCAAACTGCTGAACCAAGACTCTGAAGTAGCTATAAAAAGTTACATCAAATATTTAAAACATTATTTCCTTTATACTTAAAATACAAATAAGTAATTGTCCTCTTTTAAATGGGGCTTTCAATTTAGGATGAAGATATAATTTACAGTTATCACTGAAGCAAACTCCCAAGCACTGAATAATATTGAAGTATCATGATTCCAATCATGGAGGACAAATTATACAAAGTAACTTCATAGTCTTTAGAAAAAGCAAGGTCATCCACAATAATTTAGGACTTAACTATGACAAACAGATAGAGATTAAGGAAAATTACAAACAAATACAATCTAATCCTACAACAGAATCCTAGGAGGTTGAAAATGTACATGAATGGGGAGGAGGTGAATCAGTAAAATTCTAATAAGTTGTTGTAGTTAAAAACATTTCGCCAGGCGGTGGTGGCGCACACCTTTAATTCCAGCACTCGAGAGGCAAAGGCAGGCAGATCTCTGTGAGTTCAAGGCCAACCTGGTCTACAGAGTTCCAGGACAGCCAGGGCTACATTCAGAAACTCTGTCTCAAAAAAAAAAAACAAGACAACCACCCAAAAAAAAAACATTTTATTAATGCTAGCTTCCTATCATTGATAATTATACTATAGCTCTACAATATGTTAATGTTAGGGACAGTGAAGTAAGGAATTTATGCAAATTTTTGTGCTACTATTTTTACAAGTTTTCTGGAAATCTAAAGTTTAAAAAGTTAAATAGAGTGCAACTATCACTAAATTTTACAATCAAGTACTTAACAGTTTTTAGAATAATAAGGGAAATTGTGTTTGTTTTGTTTGGTTTCTGAAAGGGGTAACAGATGGGAGGGCAGTTTAGTAGTAAGGCACTTAACTTGCCAGGGAAAGGAGGAAAATGGGACAGAGAGGAGGGGAAGAGAGGGGAGAGGGGAGGGGAGGGAAAAGGAGAGAGGAGGGGAGTTTGAAAGCTTTTGGCAACATGAACTGTGCTGTTGGTATGAAAAAGGCAAGGTAGAGCTGGGCGGTGGTGGCTCACGCCTTTAATCCCAGCACTCAGGAGGCAGAGGCAGGTGGATCTCTGTGAGTTCGAGGCCAGCCTGGTCTACAGAGTGAGATCCAGGACAGGCACCAAAACTACACAGAGAAACCCTGTCTCGATAAAGCCAAACAAACAAACAAAAATCCAGTTAAGCCTTCTCATGTAGCAAATGAAAAATTCTGTGTACGATTATTGCTCTGCAGTCTTAAAATGAAAAAAACGTTTAAAAAAGAAAAAAAAAATCCAGTAACTTACTCAGCAGGAGCTGTATTTTCATGTTGAAGTCCAGGTGGTGTTTTCTGGGTTCTTAAAGCTATCTCAGCATTCTTTAACTCCTAATACACCAGAGATTTAGAAACACATATAGGAAACAAACAAACAAAACAGCAAGGTAAGAGTTAGGCTAGTACAAACTATTTCTGGACTGAGAAGTCAAACAACTGGGAAACAGGGAATAGAACAAGCTGCTTTACACGTTGCTGAAACTTCTTTCTAAAGAAGACAAATTAAACTTTCAATAAATTTATGATAAAATCAATGAACTACTGATTTTTTGAAGAACTATGCATAAAATTCTGCAAATTTATAAAATGAATTCAACCACAGTGAAAAGAATGTTACTGCTTTAGAATCTTCATGATGCAACTGTGGAAAGCACTATTTTAGGAAAGGCAAGCAAGCAGAATTAAGTAGAGGCCGGCATCAGCAGGGATTACATCTGGGTAGCCAACCACTATACACTCCACCATTCAAGGCTTTACTCACGCCATCCTGTCCCTTGGTAACCCTGTGAAACAGCTGCTTCTCTCTTACATGAGGAAGTGGGGCCACACATATGTTACTGCCTAATACACCACAAGTTAAGTCTGAGAGCTGAATGCCGGTCCTCTACTCTTCCTCAATGTCATCTTACCTTCTATCCAATGAGTCCTTAGGACTAGTATTCTGTTTTAACACTTATACCCCACATTCTTGTCATTCCACTGTTTTTTTTCTTTTTTGTGTGGTTTTTTTGACACAAGGTTTCTCTGTGTAACAGCCCTGGCTGTCCTGGAACTCGCTCTGTAGACCAGGTTGGCCATGAACTCACAGAGATCCATCTGTCTCTGCCTTGCAAGTGCTGGGATTAAAGCCATGTGCCACCACTGTCTGGCTACTCCCCCCCTCTCTTTTAATTAACTTGTTTTTTTTTTAAAGAAGTATCTTAAATTTATGCTCCTAATAGTAACTTTTTCCCTTATTAAACTACCAAGCTGTTAAGTCTAACTGGCTCTCTGTACCATTTTACTTTTTGTTTGTTTTTAAGACAATGCCCTATTATGTAACCCAGATTAGCTTTAACTCATAATCCCCCTGCCTCAGTCTCCTAAGTCACTACACCTCCTACAACACTAACCCTGCCTGGCACTGCCTTTTTACCCTTGGTCTCTACCACCTCAGCACCTCTCACTCCTTACTTAAGAGAGCATGGTTCTTGACAAGCCTTCTGCAGGAAGAAGCTGCTAGCAGGTCTTCTCACACACCCATGTCATACTCCTGGCCATCACCCCTTCTCTTTCCTGAGCACAAGCCCTTGTAACACTTATACACCTTCAAGAACCAAACATATCACACATTAGACTAATGGTAAAAGTGTCAATTTGAGCCCTTTGATCCAAACACATTATGTTTCACTGATTTGAGGGTTTTGTTTTGTTTGTTTTTTGTTTGTCATTTTAGCACAATTAGTGTTTTGGTTCCCTAAAACCCAAAATCTCTTTTTTATCTCAAATTGACTTAACAATTCTGCTACATACAAATACCACACATTTATAGATGGAAATATCCAGTTTTAGAATTATAGTGAATCCAAGTATAGTGTTGGGTTCAATGATGGCTGTTCTTGGTTGTGAACTTGACTGCATCAGGAATTAACTAAAACCCTCAGATGTGTGAGGGATTTTTTTTCTTAATGGAATCATGTGAAGTAGAAAACCCATTTTTAACCCAGACCTGAGAGGTGGGAAGACCCACCTTTAATCTGGGCCACACCTGCTATCAGCCTATATAAAAGACATGGGAGAAGGAAGCCTGCTTTCTTTGCTTGCTCGCTCTCACTGTCATTGGTAAGTCCATTCATTCCTTCATGGGCATTACAGCCTACTCTGGGATTCCAGCATATACTGAGACCAGCTGAGACATCTAGCCTCATGGACTTAACAACTAACAAATTCTTGGATCTCTGGTAGATAGATAGACAGCCATCACTGGACAAGTGAGAGCACAGCTTGCAAGTCATTCTAATAAGTCTCCCCCCCCCTCCATATATATATATATACACACACACACACATATATATTTACAGGATGTATACACACACACACACACACACACATAAATATATAAGTTCTACATATTTCCTCTAGAAAACCTTGGCTAATACAGGTTCTTAGTTTGCTACCTCCATTATTGGCTAATTATATCTTTTTATAAACATATAAATTCATGTATTTCACATACAAAATTGAGTTTCATATGATTTCATATTTAATTAAAGCTTAAATATTCACTTATCTAAAGCATAATTAACATTTTGTTTTTCCTAGAAAGTACCTAGTGGTAAAGGAAAAGTGACTAAGAAGAACACACAAAGGAATACTGCATTCATATTTAATGAAAAGACTAGGAAATTGGAATTTGAGAACAGACAACAAAGTTTTCCGATTCTTTTTTCAACATCATAGTTTATTTATTTATTGTTTTTTTTTTTTTTCCAAGACAGGGTTTCTCTGTACAGGGTAGCTCTAGCTGTCATGGAACTCGCTCTACAAACCAAGCTGGCCTTAAACTCAGAGATCTACCTGCCTCTGCCTCCCATGTACTAGGATTAATGGTATGTGCCACCACCACCCAGCAAATATCATAATTTAAATAGCTATTTTAATAACATTATTTAAAAGTTACAAAGTATTCTTGAACAAATGACTTATTACATAATCACATTTGAAGATTCTATTGAAAATTCTATCCCTTCACTTCTGAAGAGCATGGCACTTGATAAGCCTACAGCAAAAAGGTTTCACATGAAACTTGCCAATAACTCAGTCAAGACGATAGGAAAAGATGACTTTCTAATTACAATACACAAAACACATATAATTCATATATTATCACTCTTCTTCTATGGTACAGGTAAGAACCATTACTGTATTATGTGTATGATGCCACAGGTGGAAAAATTCAGTAGCATGAGTGACAGATGACATTAGTCTCATTGTTATTCTCAGTAGGCAGGTTTAATCAAGGCTAACAGATAACCAGTTAAGCTTAGTATTAACAAGGCATGCTATAGTTTCAATCTAATAACTAACAAGATAGAAAACATTTTCTGTCCAGGTATCTTCCTCCTTTATAAGATAAACTTAGCAAGAAGCTCTTATGATAGCTCATTGTTAAGGGTGGGACTAGCAGGGACTGCTCCTCAACCTCTTAACTGCATAATAAGGACAACGGTATCTACCCCAAATGGCTGTCATGAACACTAATCTAAGCTAAAAAAGTATAAACTACTTAGGATATTGTTATACATACATATAGAGCATATATAACATTAAATAAAAACAAGGTGGCAATTTAAAATTTTATGAACTTTCTGGTTTTCGTATTAGTGTGTACACATCAAACTTTTATAATTAAGTAAATTCTTATTTCACAGTACTATGGCTATGGCTGGCATACCTGAGCCGTTTCTAACTTCAGTTTGTCGATATTGAGGGTGTTCCTCTGCAACCCACTGGCAGCCAATGACAGCAGCTGCTTCAGTGCCTTGATGTCTTCCTGGACTTTAAGCATCGCTTTGGAAGACATTCGACTAATTTCTTCTTGGACTTGTTTTTGTTCTTTGACAAATTTCCTAAAAGAACAAAGAACACAAGTGACAGCAGTGGGGGTGAGAGCTAGAGGTGGGGAAAGGATGGAAGGAAATGATGGAGATGGAGATGGCTCAGCGGGGAAGAGCAATATACTACTCTAGCAGAAGACCCAAGTTCCGTTCCCAGCACCCACACGGTGGCTCACAATCTGTAACTCCAGTCCAAGGTCCTGTTCTGACCTGCACAAACTCCAGGTACACACACAGTACACAGACATACATACAGGCAAAACATTCATACACATAAATCTTCAGAAAAAAAATTTAAAGAAATCAAGATAAAAATGTTTGTCTTTTTTTTTTTCTAGAGAAAAAGAAGTAGATTTAAAATAAGCTGGACATAGTCTAATGTTTGAAAACTACAATTCATACTTTTTAATAGAATGATACTGAATTTTAATTCTTACTTTCCTCCCTTTTTTTCAACATTATTTGTATGTGTGCCTGCTAATTTTTATCAACTTGACATAAACTAGAGACAACTAGAAAGAGGGAATTCAATTAAGGAACTCCTCCATCAGATTATCTCACGGACAAGTCTGTTGGGCAATTTTGTTGTTGTTAATTAATGAGGGAAGGCCCATCCCACAAAGTATTTAGGAGAAAGATGTTTCCCCTAAAAATATCCAAGAATCTTTCAAGTTTTATTTATCTAATCACACTTGGTACTTACTGGAGATTTTCAACATCCTGACAGATGACAGGAGGCAGGTTTTCATCTTTCAGTGCTTTACTATCCCTAAAAAAAAGCCACACCTACATTAATGCCATCCACAAACGCATTAACACTATGCAGATTCTGACAATAAGTTGTATTTTCCTATGCTAAGAAATGAGAATATAACAATGTTCTCTACTTATATTTTCTTTGATTTCAAAGTCTTATAAATGATTTACTTGACTTGAAAATAATTTTACCAATTTATTTGACACCAACATTTCTTAACAAAGACTGGTATCCATTATAAATATTCTTAGAAGTATTTAAGTAAATGCCTGAAAAAAAATCAGAAAATACTAGATTGAACGAGATGTTGAACTGTTTCTTCTGATTCAAAGATTCTATGATTGATGACATTCAATTAAAAAATAGTAAGGTATTAATTAAAGAAAGCCTACAGCATTTTTCATGAGAAAAGAAACTCAACACAGTTTAGTACTTTATAACATAACCTTCACTCAAATGGGGAAAGACAGCCCTACTGATGTAATTATAAGTAACACAGGAAATAAATAAAACTTGGTAATAGAATCATTTTACAGTGCTGGCTAGAACCCCCAATATCTCTCAGATCCTCCATTCAAAACTTTCAAAGCTTTGAAGTTGGGGTTAGAGATGTTCAACTTGTTAACCTATATAGATACCCCAAATCTGAAACACTTCTGATCTCATGAATACTCAATCTTAACAGGTTAAAGCAATACATGTTTGTGAGGAGTGAAACTGACTATGTCCTTACAAATGATTCACTAACAGAAGACAAACTAAGTGGGCAAGTGACAATAAAAATGATCACAGTGGCTCTGAGTAAAACAGTGATCATATTCCAAGCATGCATATAATACATACACATGGAAGCTATTACCCTGTCTGAAGACACAAGGGAGTAAAATGGTACTAGTGCAGTAATTTGTGTATGTCAAACTGGTAGCGTAAGGGCTGCAGGAAGAACTCAGTAGGAGAGCACACACTTAGCCAAGTACAAAGCCCTGGGCTCAATACTCAGCACTGAAAAGACTAAAACTAAAGTATCTGTATTATTTAGGAAATGTCAACCACCTTTTCTGAAAGAAATGGCTTGAAAATTTCTTGATGACTAGTAATCAAAGATTTGCTATTTCAGAGGTTTTCCGAAACATATATTTACCTTTTTTGGCGAACGCTGATTTTTTATCTTCTAAATGTATACTTTTGTCTATACAATCTGCCAATAACTTAGTAATTAAACTATTTTAAAGTTAAATTGTAAACTTACTCTGGTCTTGTTCCTGTTTTATCACCTAGAAAATCCAAGAAGCTTCATGTAAAAATAGGTCATTTAATAACACCTTAACACATTCCAAGTTCTAATGAACAGAAATGAAATAAAATACAAACACAAGTTTTCAACACCATGCAGTGTGATTTTCCCTGTCCTGAACTTGGAGGAAGAACACAGCATGATGATGGAGATCAGACACCAAGCAAACACCTTACAGAGCTCAGCTGGGTCTACTTTCCCTCAAGAAGAAACAACTCTATATGGTGCCTTGGCCGTAGTGTTTTAGCACGGCAACATGAGAGTAACTAGGACATGCACTGATACTTTACTTTGGGGCTATAACTCTCGATACACAGCATGTAAGACAGGCCACGTCATCACAGAGCCTCAGTAATACCACACTTACACACACTTCCTGTGCCTGCTCCTGCAGTCTGGCTTGCTGCTTTCCACACAGCCATCCCAATGTTCCTCATCCTTTAACCTCCACTTCCCTTTTATTTTTCCACACACATCAATCACTAAACTTGCTTTATTTGCTCACTCCCTATCTCGTCTCAATGGCTCCTTTCACCCCCTCAAACACTTCCGGCTCCTGCTTTCATGGCATACACATTTGATTATCTTCTTTTGTTCCTGCTCCCCTGTTCCTTTAGACTTTAGTCCTCTCTCTCCTTTCATGACCACAACCCCCTACTATGGTGATATTTTATTTGTACTGAAATGTGATTTTATTTGTATGTTAATAAATAAAGTTGCCCGGGGGTCAGAGCTATTAGCAAGCCATAGCGAAAGCTGGGTGGCGGTGGCGGCAGCGGCCGCCGCCTTTAATCCCAGCACTCGGGAGGCAGAGGCAGGCGGATCTCTGTGAGTTCAAGGCCAGCCTGGACTACAGAGTGAGATCCAGGACAGGTACAAAACTACACAGAGAAACCCTGTCTCGAAAAAGCAAAAAAAAAAAAAAAAAAACAACTAAATAAATTATTGATAGAAACAAGTACTTCCAATGTTAGCTGACTAAGAGTAGATTATAAAACATACAGATCATGACCTTGTTTTATAAATAAGCATTAACATTCACATTATTGTAGCTATACACAATACACATACAAATACACATATACACATACAAATTTAAGCTATTTACAAAAGCCAATACTTTATGCTCAAATATGTGAAACTGTGATGATAATATAAACAAATTTAAAGGTGATCTTTCAGGCAGGAATTTTGAGTAGCCTGTAAGCTTCCTCGCAATGCTGTTACAACATGAAATCTGAGTAACATTACTTACTCTTTTTATCTGATGAGGTACTAAAATCTATACCACCAAGGCCTTCGCTGCCTGCAGTTGAAGTAGGTGCTGTAGTTCCCAAAGACAAGCTTAAAGCATTTTGTCCAAGACCTGTGAATGAACCAAATAACATTTATCAACTTTCCTGACTTTAAAAGAATTTCCCTTTACTGACCAAAGCATGTAATACTTTAAGACCACAGATTTTCTTACTACCTGTTTTAGGAAAATAATGAGACAAATCTGTAGCAAATGATTTGGGTAAATTTTGGTAATCTTGTTAGATTCAACAATATACTAAGTTTGGAAGCTGAGAACTTATTAAAAGGCCTACAGGTAAACATTCTATTATTATTTATTTTTAAAACTTTTTCTGGGCTGGAAAGATGGCTCAGCAGTTAAGAGCACTGGCTTTTCTTCCAGAGGTCCTGAGTTCAATTCCCAGCAACCACATGGTGGCTCACAACCATCTGTAATGAGATCTGGTGCCCTCTTCTGGTCTGCAGGTGTATATGCAGACAGAACACTGTATACATAATAAATAAATCTTTAAAATAATTTTTTTTTTCTATAAAATTTGTTTCACATGATATATTTTCAGGTGAATCCAATTTCTATTTGATATTTTGGAATTGTACAATTTTAAAACAACCTAGTGTGAATTCATAAGATGTATGATATACCTTAAATGTTAAATATTAAATACACATCATAAAAGGATGTTAAGAAGAAAAAAAAAAGCTTATTTTAAAGTAAATAGCCTTTTTTTTTTTTTTTTTTTTTTGGTTTTTCGAGACAGGGTTTCTCTGTGTAGCTTTGCGCCTTTCCTGGGACTCACTTGGTAGCCCAGGCTGGCCTCGAACTCACAGAGATCCACCTGGTTCTGCCTCCCAAGTGCTGGGATTAAAGGCGTGCGCCACCACCGCTCGGCTGTAAATAGCCTTTATTTTCTTATTTAAATCTCACCTCACTGGCAAAAAGGCTCAAATGGACTACAGTTAATCACAGTAATTATACTTAGAAGCCAATAGATTTTGTGTCGACAAACTTATTTTCCCACAAACCAATGCAGGCCTACACTGGTATGCCTGGTGCTTAGACAAAATGCTACCTGTTTTAAAAGCAGAAAAAACATGATTTGATTACTGAAAACTAGATTTAAATTGTGGCAATGACTAAAAAAATAGTTAAATAAATATCATTATGTTAGGTAACCCCAACTCACAATCTGAAATATGAAACAATTCTGGCCCCAAGCACTTCACCAAAGTGATACTCCACCTGTAACTTTCTAAAGTCAATGGCATTTTAGGTTAGCACAGGCATCAAGTAAGCATGGAGTACTGTGTCAAGAGTCTACTAAGCAGTGCAGATTTGGCTGACAATCCTCTGCTTCCTGATCCTGTGGAGATACGACAAGCCAGAAGATGCAAGCTCTTGCCCCCACAGGCAGCACTGCCCAGGGGCTCTTCCTTAACCTCTGCTGTGCTCCCTGAACTGAGCAAGTTGCTTCTATAGAATATTTGGTTACAGCAATAAGAAAAGGAAATTCAGAGCATTGGGAAGTTATAAATTGACCTCCTCTCTTTTCTATTGTATTTTCATTTTGCTATTATAGGAATCTATGTGAGAAATGTTCACATGCTTATCCTACAAGAAAGCATGAAGCAGTCATTACATATCTGGTTACTGGAAGATATTTTGAGGAACTATAAAACTAGAGAATAATGGCAAAAATAGTGAACACTCTAGATTTCTACAGGTCACCATGACCCACGTCTTGCCTTCCTTTCCAATTGCCTGGATCTTTTCCATTCACCTAATACCTCAACAAAAGACAAAAAATTACTAGTTTCTTTGGCAGAAAGCATCAGTCCATACTTTTTCACCTTATCCAACCAAAGTAAAAAGCTATTATAAATGGGCCTAAGAATACTATGCTTTTTATAATTAAAATATAGGTAAACGTCTCCTAATTGGTGAACTGTTAACCAGAAACTCTTGATATTACACTCCTATGGGAAATAATTACAATGTCTTCAGATAACAAGAAAGCTTTACTTCTCAAAAACGCCCTCTCCTCACTTCCCGAAGGAAAACCATACTTAGAAGCCAGGCTTGCCTGGCTATAATACATGACGTTAAGATGTAAACCTCCCTTATTATAACTCCAATTAAGCAAATTTTACCACTGAGCCACATCACCTGCCCACGACGACTTAACTGACATTTATTTAAAAGACAAATTTCTGTGGAAGCTTTTGGAATCTTTCTTTAACTAGACTCACTGAGGAAAAAGGACAACATATTCTAAGATGTGGCTAAGGTGGCCACTTACATAGGAAAACCATTATTTTGGTTTTTATACTGAAAGAAAAATAGATTATTAGAAAAAAGTGTTCTTTTTAACAAGCTAAAATAAATTTAAATGCAAGTATTTACTATTCTGGAAAAAAAATACTAGCAATTACCCGATGTTGCTGTGTTTGCACTCTGGAAAAGTGAACCTCCCAAACCAGCTAAGGCTCCCCCTAAAGAAAGTCCTGTTGATGCTGTTGTAGTTGTGGCTGGTGTTGTTCCCAAGTTATTTAGAGTAAATCCTGTGGATGCTGAGAATGAAAGAGAGAGAGATGAACAAGCCTTCATATAAAAACAGCACTTAACACCACAGGAAAATAGCATATTCTCAAAAACAGAATCCCACTGATACATTTGAATCTTTGGGGAAACCACTTGCTCAAGAAAACTTTCAAAATACTCAAAATAAAGAGGAATGGTAGCTTCAAGGCAAAAACCAGGGTTCCTCCCCCTTAGTCCACTATTACAATAGTAACTGATTCTAGACAACAATAATTTATAATCCCAGCCAACAATTCTGCCTTTAAAAGCAAACCAAGAGCTGGGTGGTGGTGGCGCACACCTTTAATCCTAGCACTAGGGAGGCAGAGCCAGGCGGATCTCTGTGAGTTCGAGGCCAGCCTGGGCTACCAAGTGAGTTCCAGGAAAGGCGCAAGGCTACACAGAGAAACCCTGTCTCGAAAAACCAAAAATAAATAAATAAATAAAATAAAAGCAAACCAATCCTGAGCCAGTTGAGTTTACAAATGTCTTTTTTGTTTGTTTGTTTTTTGAGACACAGTTTCTCTGTGTAGTTTTGGTGCCTGTCCTGGGTCTCGATCTGGCTGCAAATGTCTTTATATTTCCTGCCATAAACAATTCAATCACTCAAGGAAGAAACTGTGTTACTTTTTCCTGTCTCTTAAAGCCGGGCAGTGGTGGTGCACACCTTTAATCTCAGCAGTTGGGAGACAGAGGCAGGCAGACCTCTGTGAGTTCGAAGCCAGCCTGGTCTACAGATTGAGTTCTAGGACAGGTTCCAAAGCCACACAAAGAAACCTTGTCTTGAAGAAAAAACAACAACAAACAAACAAACCAAAGATAAAACATCTCTGTATTTCAGTCCTCTCATCCTCTTTATTCAGAGTAGAGGCCATATTTCAAGATGGCCATAACTGCTTTAATGGTCAATGCTAACTTTTTTCCAGATAAAGTCTTGTTACATAGCCAAGCCTTGCCTTGAACTCTAGACCCTCCTGAGGCATCCTCTCAAATCATAGGTATGGACCACTAAGCCTAGCTCTACAAAGCCAATAGTTCAGTAAGACAAAATTGTTAACTAATTCAAATAAAAATTTCCCAAAGTACAGTTGTGTTTTTAAATGTTTTATGCTTATACAGCAAACACTTTATCTGCTGAACCATCTCCCCAGCCTGATGCTATGTTTAATATAAATGGCTTCTGATGTTCTCTCACTGGATACAAGTTAATGTATTTAAATTTCATTTAAATTCCGTTTTCTTCCCATTCTGTCTCACCTGCTGGAGTGGATGTCAGAGCAGACGAAAGCGTGAGACCACTAGCTGAGGTAGAAGTGCCAGGCAAGGCAAATGGTGTGGCGGATGCTGCAGGCTTACTGAATCCTAAACTGAAGCCTGTTGTAGATGCAGATGTAGTAGCTGGTGTTCCTGTTTAAAAAAAAAAACAAACACAACTCATTTTATCTTAATCATATAGATATTGTGCTGGTTTTAATTAGTATCCTTTTCTCTATTGTAAATAGGATAGAAGGATTTGTAGGTGTGAAAGAAAATATTTAAATTGGGACTAAATCATGGTGAATATAAGAGATAGTCCTGTGAGTTAAGAAAAAAAAAAATGCAAGATGGGTGTGTTGGCTCACACCTTTGATCCCAACACTCAGGAGACAAAGGCAGGCAGATCTCTTATGAGTTCTAGACCAGCCTAGTCTACATAGTGAGTTCCAGGACAGTCCAAGAGACACAGTGAGACCCTATCTCCAAAACAAAAAAAAAAAAAAACAAAGAAATATGAACACAATCGCATTTCAATCCCATGCCCAGAGTTACCTATAATAGCATTTATTCCCCTTTACTCTCTTTGCTCTCAACAGAAAAGCAGTCCCTCCTGTCCCAGACTACACAAGCACCATTCTATACTCCTGAAAATCCTCCTTCCTGGACCCCATTTCTGTCAGCACCCAGCTCTCTTCCTACCCCTGCCTGTAGATCTCCTTCCTCCATTCAGGTCTTAAGTGGACTCCCAGGGTGCTGTTGCTGCTTCCCCCACTGACCTCTCCACTTTCATCAGTCCAGCTACAGGTCCATGAATCTAACCCCAACTACCACTGGCTTCTTTATTTTACTGAGCAGTATCTCACTCACTAGCCTTGAACTCACAATGCCCCTGCTTTAGCCTCCCTAGTGCTGAAAAAGCAAGCATACGCCACCATACCCAGCTCTGAATCTAACTCTATGTCTACCTGAATCCCCACTGGTCGGTGGACTTTGATGTCCCTTTGACTCATGCATTTCAACACAACAAAACCTTGCTAAGTTAAGTCCCTCCTCAGTCAATTCAATCACTCAAGGAAGGAATCATGATACTTTTTCCTTCCTTGCATTGCTTTAGTTCCAAATCTTATTAATAATTCTATTTCAAAAATACTGCTGGATTACTGGCACCTTCAAAAACTTTAGGCCAGCCACCTCAACAGTCTCTTAACCTGTCAAGTCTCTTCCAATCTCTCATCTACTCTTAGTATCATCTCAGTTACTTTAACAGCATCTTAGTGTTGGCATTAACTTTTCTTTAGGAGACATGAACTAATGTCTATTCATCCCAGATGGAAAGAACCACAAGAAATCATTGGTCGACAATGAGTTTAGTTGGGGAGACCCAAAGAAGTATGAGTGAGGGCTTATCTACAGGAGCATGGGCAACTACACCACTGAAAAAACAGTCCTCTCTTCACAGCAACTAAACTGCTCGTCTACTCTCAGGGAAGGACAGGACCAGAGGCCTGCATTTGTGAGCAGCCCAGCATAAGGGAGCCTTCCCTCTCCAGTCCAGTATAAGTGAGGGAAGGTTAGTGGATTTAATCTTATGAGTCCCAAGTAGGTGATCACACTTAACCTCATTTTAAAACAGCAAGAGCTAAGAGGATAGTGCTCTACAACATCTGGTAATTCTGTCCACCTTAAGGATCCCATAAGTCCTCAAGCATGTCTAACAGTCTAAAGGCCTGACAAAATACTGCTCATTCTTATGTGGTCTCAACCAGCTCTTTAAATAGCAAGTCTTCCTTCCATTTCTACCTCTGAATCCTAAGCTCCAAGAACAATATCTTTTTTTCACATTCCCTTAGATCCTTTTATGATTATGTAACTTTGTATTTTTAACTGCTTTGTGTAAAATATTTCCCAACTCCAGATAAGCCTACTCTCTTTTGTCTTCCATGCTGCCATTCCTGTGTCTATTAGCACAGTATCAGACACAAGAACATGTTCATACACTTGCCTATCTCTCCATGTCAGAGCTCATGAATGCCTTGTCCATGCACTTAAATGGTTTTGATGTAATCATCTTCTTAGTACCATGTTCACCACTGCAAACTCAAGTTAATACTGAATGTCCAAGGCATGATGTATATGCAGGCTACGTAGTTCGGAAGCACTAATTGCATAAAAACTATTAAATGAAGAAATACAACCCACATTTGGGCTTTTCCTGGAGTTACTGAAAAAAGTCAGAAAGCATGCTTCTGGATTGCCCTGACGACAACGGAGAGTTTATCACAAGGCACAGTGCTTTAAAATTGTGTGTAGATGGGTTATAAAAGAACAAGAAAAGTCTACTATTTGTCCTCATAGCCAATCTTGTCAAAACAGTTAGGTAACGGGTAAGCAGCAACTCAGTCAAGTCTACCAATGATGACCTTAACCTCACACAAGACTTTTAACACACACACCCATACACTTCTCTTGAGACAGTCTCGCTAGCTATCCCAGGCTGGCCCAGGAGTCACTGAGTAGCCCACACTGGTTTTCCACTTGTGATCTTCCTGAGTGTTAGAACTATAGCCATGCACCTCCACAATGGGCTTTATCATCCCTTCACTCTTTCTATTTTATAGCCACCCATCATTTACTGCTCTCCAGACTGAAGAGAGACTGACAATCTAGTTGTTCACGTTCCCTAAGCTTATCACTAAAAAACTATTATGTCTTCAAGGTAGAAGAGAATCCAAAACTTTCATTAGTATTTTGTTTTTCATTTTGGCAGCAGCAAGGATTAACTAACACACACACACACACACAGAGGGCAAGTGCTCTTCCACTGAGCTATGCCCCAGCCCCATAATTCTGTAATGTTATAGATAACTAAAAGCTTTGCTCTCAAGTTTGATAGGACACTTAACATCTCAATTTTTAGAGATACAACCAGGGCTCAATTATAAGACTGCCCTATAGTTTGGTGCTTTTGCCAGACCTGGAAATGTAATGAGACATAAACTTCCATATCAAAAGCCATCTATGTTTAAAATACATAATACAAAGGCATCATATAGAAGCATTGTTTTGTATATACTAAATACTGAATAGTTTTTAAAAAATAATTATGTGGGATCCAGACAAAGTTCTTTATAACTATTTTCTTTCCCCCTACTCTAAAATATTAGATGAGGAGAAAGCTATTCAATTCATTAGAAAACCAGAGTTTGATCTCTTCTCAAATATTCTTACCCAGAATTAATTCTACGGTTGTAGTTGTTATTCTCAGAGACAAACAGACAAAATTGAATGATCAATGAAGAGGACTTCCTTCTAGACTCCACCTTCAGAGACTAACACATTTCTAATAAGACAGACAGATACATGTATTCTATCTAGCAACAAACATAAGCATTTTTTCCTAGGGCACTGGTTTTGATCAAACAGGCTGTGTATGATTTGACTTAAAAGTGGATAAAATACAAACAAGTATTACTTAGAACAAAGCCCGGGTGCAGATGGTGTGTGGGGGGAGGAGAGGTTTATTTCAAGCAGAACCCTGGAACTGAGAACTAGCTCAGCAACCTTACTGGTTAATACCCCTGCTGTTAGAGCACATTTCATAGGTGTGCCCTACACACTGAACAGCCAGTGAGAGGCAGCAACTGAGATGAAGAGGTTCTGGAGGTAGAGAATAAAAGGTAAATAAGGAAACAGATATTTGAAACATGTAGTACTAAAGCTACAAAGTACTAGAAACAAAAGCTATCACTCAAATGTGTACCAGAAGTTTTCAAGAACTACACTTTTTTTCTGCTAAAACAACTGTTTTAATATCAAAATTTAAAACAAACGCGTAAAAGTACTCTAGGCAACCTTTACTAAAGAAAAAAAATGCTGCATTATATAATCTACTACAAAAATCACCTTGATTCAGACTTTCAAGTGCTCGTCTAGAGCTGCTCCGTTACCCACACGATCCTCCAATTCTTTCCTCCTTTTTAAAGCTTTACAATCAGTAATGGCCACTTAAATAAAGACAGAAGGTGGAAACTGGGAAAGAAATATCTCATTTACCCTTGGGAACAAGAACACCCTCCTTACCTGAACTTGCTCCTCCTAGAGTGAACCCGGTGGAAGGCTTAGCTCCAAAGAGTCCTGTTCCAAAACCACTGGCAGAAGCAGATGTAGATGCTGGGGTGACAGAGCTTCCGAGAGTTCCAAAGTTGAGCCCCACAGAAGGTGTGCTTGTTTATTTAAAAAAGAAAAAAAAAAAAAGTCTATAAAGGCTAGTATTTACTTTGGAAAAATAAAAAAATAACTGCCTAGGATTGTTTTCTCTCAAAACTTCTAAGATCCAAGAGATATTAAAAGGAATACTCCTAACAAATTCAAATACCTCCCCTTTCCTCCTTCAAAACAAGTCAAATGTAAAGTCAATCTTAAATATTACAAATTGAAACACACCTGAACCTGTTAGCTCTTTGGGAGGCTAAGGCAAAGGAATCACAACACCATGGCTGGATGGCAGAGTGAGTTCAAGGCCAGTCTGGGCAACTTAATGAGACCACATCTCAAAATTTAAAAAGCAAAAATGTGGCTTTTTACAGTGCAGCAGTGAGCACGCTCTTCCCACGTGCACTGTTCTAGCCTCACTACTACAGAAACAAGGGACACACAGCCTGGGAAGGCAGAGTTTACAGCAATTAGGGCTGGCTCACAGGACAATCAGCAGCAGGGTCACAAATATACCGCTCTGAAATTTTATCTGAACCCTAGGATATTTGAAATGGCCAAAGATGATTATTTTTCCTTTGAACTATCTGAGTACAGTTTACACTTCTGAACAGTTCCCACAGTTCCACAGCCACTCACATAAGGCACACATTCCAATCAAAGTTACTCTAGGTCTCTGCACTGCTACTCCATCACTGCTATAATACCATGTCCTCTGTCAAGACAGTATTCTCAGGAGAAACTCTTTACAGAGCTTCTGGAAACCTGAATAAAAACAGCTAGTAAAAACAGGTCAATGTGAAATTCAAAGCCTCTTAAGTTCATAGCAAGCCTCAGAGACCCACGTTTGCTACCGATGGGGGGGGGATAGGAAAATAAACAGTTTCAACAATTTGACACCTCAAAAATCATGTAGGAAATTAATAGAGATTATAACACATAAACACAATGGGAAATCTTAATACTCATGTTACATATTCATTACTTCCAATTCTGCCCTTTCAGAAAGCCAAAACCATGCCAGGCATGCTAACATGCCTGCAATCCCAGTTATTCAGGAAGCTGAGGGAGAAGAATTACAAGTTTGAGGCTAGCCTAGGCAATTTCCAGTCTCAAATTTATTTAAAAAGGTGCTTGGATTAATGGCATTTGTCTGTAATCTTAGTTACTCAGGAGAAGCAGGGTTGTCAAATCAAGGCCTACCTGAGCTACAGACTTGAGTTCAAGGCCAACTTAGACTCTGAGATTACCATGAACTAAAAATAGAAAGAGTGCTAGGGATACAGTTCAGCAATGGAGCACTTGCAAACATGTAACATCTTCAGTTCCATGCAACATAATTCTTGGTTTAAAAAATTAAAAAGAGGCAGGGGCGAGGCTCAGAGGTGGAGGCTCGCCTACCAAGCACAAGACACAATCCACAACACATATGCCAAAAGAACAACAACAACAAAAAGAAAACCAACCACATGGTGATGGAGTACAGAGATGATTAAGATAGCTCCTATTAAAAAAAAAAAAAAAAAAAAAAAAAAAGATAGCTCCTATTTAACAAACATACTGTTTGCTAGCTAAATTAAGACAACCACAGTCCTGGTCAGAATATCACTCCAAGTTACTCAAGTTCAGGAACCATCAATCCCACAGTCAGCTGGAAGAGCCATACAGCTTTCTGCACACTTGAAGAGCCCAAAAGGGGAAAGCTGCAATTGAAGCAGTGGCAATGTATACTTTCAATAGGGAAGCTTAAGTTAAGGAGCAGATGATGCCTAATGAGTGGTGGGTGGTGGTGACAAGGAGCTGCTCGAACAGTGAGAACTTTGGATGAGTTCAATAGCACGAGTACTCCATTGTGTTGGTTGCCCACTGAGTCTAAACAAAAAGCATTTTTAAAACATATTACTGACTATAATTAAAACCAAGTCGAGTTATGTCAGTGTTTAGTTCTCAGCACCCATCTGGCCTTTGTAGCATCTCTCTCTCTCACACACACATACATACACACACACTCCCCCCCCCCACGCCCCCGATTTAAAATGTGGTAGCTCACAGTGGGCCTTAACTCCAGTCCCAGGGGGGGTTATCTGACACCCTCTTCTGGCCTCAGAGGGCAACGTATATGCACGTGGCACAGATGCAGGCTAAACACATACACATATTAAATAAAAATGAAATCTAAAAAAAGAACTAAGTGAGATAATACCATTAAAACGACAAACCTAAAACCAATTCATCACTCAAAAAAGAAAACAAAGGGGAAAGTTTAAAAAAAGACAGTATAGTGCCAGGCGGTGATGGCGCACGCCTTTAATCCCAGCACTCAGGAGGCGAGTCTCTGTGAGTTCAAGACCAGCCTGGACTAAAGGCACAAAGCTACAAAGAGAAACTCTGTCTCAAAAAACAAAAACAACAAAAAAGACAGTATAGCACAGTGGCTTGTGTCTAGACAGCATAAGTAGTACAAGAAATCATACCCAAAAACATTATTTGACTGGAGCTGTCTCATAGTACTGTTGTTTTTGATTTGCTGTATCGAATACGGGCTGGAAAAAATGAGCTTTCTTGGGATATTAAATGTCTAGCCATTTTAGTCTATAGCCACATTATGGTTAAGCTTCAGGAGATACCTCATCCTTCGAGTACAGAGTTCCTGATTTTACGAACGCTTTACAAGACAGAGTTCTAACGATTAACTCCTTCACTGAAATGGTCTTCTGAAGCCCCTAGCTATACATCTGTCACTACCTGAATACATTACACAAACTGATGAGTAAACTACTTAAACTTGTAGTGAAAGGAAACAATAATGCGGGTGGTTATACTACAAAATTCTTTAGGATGTTATGCTAATCCGCATACGATATGAAATTACTACTAATAAATGCTATAAAAGCTTTAAAAAGACAGATTGGGTCCTCTGTGCACAAAGACTGGAAAATCTCGTGAAACAAAAATAATCACAAATTCAATGCACCGTAACGTTCAAAATCGTTAAATACTGTAATGAAATCTTAACTATCAAGAGGAAATTTTTAATTATCTTCCTCCGATTTTTCTATTCCTAAAAGTCGGCAACAAGCTGTCATTCATTCAACGCCCCCATTCCATCCCTGAGACGGATGCCAGGCCGCTTCCTGCAGTCGGGCCTCCGCGCGTCTGGGGATGGCAGAGCCTTGGCAGCAGAGGTCCCCAACCCCACCAGGACCGACACCCGGCGGGGGTCGCGGGGAAGCCAGGCAGCCTGACGGCAGACCTCGACAAGCCAAGCCTCGCGGGGAAGCCCCAGACCACGGAAGCCTTGTGCACACGGTTACCTAGACGTGCCGGTCCCAAAGGAGAAGCCGGTGCCTGTGCCGGTGCCTCCGGGGGCCACGGTGGTGGAGCCCAGAGTGCCAGACCCGAAGGAGAACCCCGTGGACATGGCGGCTCTGGGCGCGACGCCGTCAACAAGAGCGGAGAAACCCGGGACGCTTCTGTCCCCTCACTGCCGAGGCAGGACGCGCAACATCGCTGCGGCCAGGCGGGAAGTTCAACCTCGGCAGCTTCGCGGCGAGACCGGAGGAGGCGGGGCCACACGTGCACGCACGCGCGACGCAGCCCGCGCGACGCCGCCCGCGCGCCGAGCGTACCGGAAGCGCACCCGTCGCGCAGGGGACCCTGGGACCGGAGTGGGGGCGGTGCTAGCGTCAGGCAGCCAGGATGGGCGCCCCGCCTACTCTCTTAAAGAGATAAGCACCCGGAGTGCCAACTACTCGAGAAGTTCTCGCGGTAGTTCGTGCCCTACTTCCTGAATGAAGGACCGCCCCCCCCCCCAAATGTTACTTCTGTCCGGACTCCTGCCCAAAACCATGCGAAAAAACCCAGAGTTGGGAAGGACCTTGGTCGTCACCTCATACTCCTCCAAGGGGGCATCTGGGTTTCGTTGGGTGTCACTGCACCCGAGAAAAAAGGAGGGTGTCTACCTTCTGATGCTCCGAAAACCCACGGGTTTTAATTCACACACGCTTCCGACCAGAGCCTTCCCTGGTGTTCCTGACTTGCGTGTGCGGAGGGGCTCTGGAGCGGCGTAGCACTCCCTGCCTCCGCTGCCACCCAGCCTGAGGTCAGGGGACACGGTGCCCCGGGTCCTAGTGGGCAGAGGGTGTGGCGCGTGCCATTCTTGGGAACCTTCCCTGATGGCTGCTGCTTCGTGGTCATGTGGCTTCCCCACACCTTGGGCTGTTTACTGGACGAATTGCCAGGAGGACGATAAAAGGACAGAAACCTGCGATCTAAGAGATAGAATGTACCGGGGACCTGGAGCGACATGAGCGCCAAGAAAAGCTTCCTAGCAGTGGTCTGGAAGCGCTGCCATCAGGACGTGGCTCTTGTGGCTCTTTAGTTCTCCATCAGAAATTGGCATATTGTTCTGGTCCCATCGTCCCATCACTCAGATTTATTCTAAAGCACAATCCTTACCACGGTAGTACTTTGAACAAAAGCTCAGTAGCCTCTAAATCTAGCACTCGATGCCCTCTATATGACAAATCTTTGGAACTTCCTTTCTCTCGACTTATCTATAATTCAGCACTTACTTTGTGTTAACCTTGGGCATTGCGACCTGCAGTTGACTGAATCAGGGCATCCTCCAAATCCATAGTATAGACCTGTCCTCTCCCCGAATATTTATTGCAAGGGTATCATTATTGGCTCAGGACACACCAAAACCAAGTTCACAGCACAAAGGAGATTTATTTGCCCCAGAAGGACAGAGGGCAGGAAATAAAAGACAAAGACTGGAGATAGAGGATGAGGGGAAAGGGAAAGGGTATAAGGGAGAGGGGGTGGGGATATTTGTCCCTGAGTGAGACAAAACACTGGCTCTGGATAGAGAGGAGACAGACGTGGCCCATAGGAAAATGTCGGTTTATAAAGGTAAAGGGGAAACACCGTGCTAGGATGAGGTGTTTAATTTTAAATGGGCATGTTAATTGGGTGGACCAAAGGGGGATTTTGATTGCTAGACTTCAATACTTTAATAACTAGACCTTGGTGGTCAACCTCAGGAGGAGGTGGCCAAATAAGGAAATAGACCTTAGTGGCTAGCTTTAGGGATGTAATATAAGGGTTTTTAGCAAGACAGAGGGAATGGGAGAGAAGGGCAAGGCCTCCCAGAGCTACATGCTCCAGTGGGCTAGTGTCCCTTCACTTATAATGTTGAAGCTCTGTTCCTCAGCGTTTCCCTTTGGGAGGAGATTAAAATTGAATGACATCAGAAGGTGTGTTTTGAACATGATGTGATTAGTGCCTTCTAAGACTACAGAGCTCTCCACTTTGTGAGGGGCCTTCTGAAAGGCAGGAATAAGACCATTTGCAGGAACTCAGTCTGTAGGCACCTTGATATTGGTCTCTCAAACTCCAAAAGCAGTGAGAAGTAAATATTTGACCACTCTAGTGTATTGTATTTAGTTATAGTGATGTAGCATGAATCTTAAAAGATCTTATTAATAAAATCAAACCTGAGGCCAGTTATTGGGGTGAATGCTGGAAGATCAGAGAAGCAGAACAAGCCACAGCTACCTCACCTTGCCAATTCTCATCCAGAATGAATCTCAGCTGAACTGTGCTGCTCAAAGGCCTGAAGTTTAACCAGCCAAATGCTTCTAGTTCCCAGTTTTCACGCCTTATATACCTTTCTGCTTTCTGACATCACTTCCTGGGATTAAAGGCTCACTTCCTGGGATTAAAGGCGTGAGTCACCATGCTTGGCTATTTCCAGTGTGGCTTTAAACTCACAGAGATCCAGATGGATCTCTGCCTCCCAAGTGATAGGATTAAAGGCGTGAGTGCCATCATTGTCTTGCCTCTATGTCTATCTAGTGGCTGTTCTGTCCTCTGACCCCAGATAAGTTTATTAGGATGCACAATATTTTAGGGAACACAATCCACCACATTTCCCCTTTTTTTGTCTAAAGTTAAAAAAAACTTATAACTAATACAGAAAAACTATCCAATAAGTATATACAATATATACAGTCAAGAATTATATTAATGATGTCCAGTACATTAACATTTGACAGATTCAGATAAAAACTTCATTAATATATAACAATATCTAGTTCAGTAACATTTGATAAACTCAGACAAAAATTTTTATTACTTATCCTATTTAAAACAAGTAGTTCCTTTTTAAAAGTAGATTTAATAATTGACCTTTTTGTCTTATCATATCCATATTCTCTTTTTTCTTTTCATAATAGATTCAGTAATCTACCTTTGTCATTTTTATATCTTCCCCTTTTTCTTTTTAGAGTAGATTCAATTATCTACCCATTTATCTTATTATTTCTTTATCTTTTTTCTCAGAGTAGACTCAATGATCTATCTCATATCTATACTCACTTTTTTCTTTTTCTTTTTCTTTTTTTTAAACAAAAACTCTGAATTTAATCCCCTTGTTCAACTTTTTTCTTGACCATTAACAATTAACAACTTGTAACCAACCATCATAAACAATGACAATATCCATAACTCGTTAAACAACCAAAAACCTCCTATCCCACATCTTGGGAATGTGGGTGTCGTTTTCTTAAAATTACTTCCTGCTTTCTGGGGGTGAAGACATCTTTAAGGGATCCTGAAAAGAAAATTTTGGAGTTAATTGTCAAGTCCTGTATCATTTGTCCAGTCTCTGCATAATGAGAAAGTCCAGGGCTTGTTTCAAGTTCTTATTCAAGTAGTCTGTCAGGCTGAATCATCTCAGCTAGCCATCTTGAAATTGTGCTGAGCAGTTTGTAGTTCAAAGCAGATCTTTCCGTGGTGTTAATCAGCTTAATGGTTTTACCATAGTCCATGTGGAATCAACTTTGTGGAGCCCTGTCTTCCGTTTGAAGATTTCAAAGATGCTGTTAGGCATGGTCATGGTTCCCTGCATTTTTTTTTTTTTGTGCCTCCTCTGTGGTTTGGAGCAATCACAGTCTGATAAATGTCTGTCTCTCGGAACCATGAATGCATGAATGTTCTTCCCTAGAAGTGAAAATCTTCACAGCAATTTCTCCCCACCATTTGTCTTGCCAAACTTTTCCAAACTGACTTTTGCCAATGTTTTCTTGTAACACGATGGTCCTGACAATTGTTCTCTGAACCAGCAGCAACAAAACCTTTGTCCCAGGTAGCAGCATCACTGCAGTCACCAACACGATGAGAAGAAGCCAGAAACTTGGAGCAGTAGCCACTGCCTCCATGGTCCACCGCCACTGTTTGTGGCTGGGCCAAAGCTTCTCCTTAGCAAGCCTCCTAGGCTGGTCTCAAACTTAGGATCCTCCTGCCTCTGCCTCCTTCAGTAAATCCAACCAGTGTGCCACCACAACCGGCTGAGGGTAGCTCAGGTCTGAGCAGGGGCCCCAAAGGTCACACGCAAGCAGCTTTTTTGTGAATTCATACCACAGCTCCTTGCTTGGAAGCTTTGGCAGTTGAGAATTTCTGGGTAGGAGAGTCAGTTGTCTTCAGAGAAGTGCCCCCTACTAGAATGCCCATGCTCCAGTAGATGGTCTACATGTGCACATAAAGAGAGCACTGGTTGGACTCACTGGGCTATGAAAAGAAGCTCTAAAGTTGGGAGGAGCATATGGTGGAGGATATAGAAAAAGTTCAAAGTGGAATGGGGGGTTAATATGACCTAAACACATTGTATATAAGTATGAAATTATCAAAGGATAAATAAAACTTTATGTTAGACGAAAAATAAATAGCACTTTAAACAAAAGTGATAATGAATATGATTTTTTTTAAAGAAGAGGGATATAAACTGGTATGGGAAAAGTCACAGCTGCTGAAAGGAGAAAAACAATTAGTTATTATGTGTTAAAATCTAGAGAACATCATGGCTATCGGGTAGTGGGACAGCTGTCCTACTATTGAGAATATTTCCTTTTGACTGAAAAAAAACTTTAAAAATAAGTCCAGATTTTTATAGAAAGATAGTCTTTTAATTCTCCAGTGTATTCTTTCCAGAACTTGAAGACACCAACATAAAATTAGCAAGAGCAATATGTTTGTCAGTGGGACACATGAGGTCAGTGGGAAGGGATGATATTTATTTTAAAATACAGTAGAGACTAATAAGTTTATGATCAGAAAAACTGGCTGTGGGCATATTGGAACACTTGGTTGTTGTGGAATATTAGTTTAAGATGTGTTATGTTCATTTATGCTGTGGAAAATTTGTTTAAGAATGCAAAGATGTGTTGCATTCTTTTATGTTTCATTTGTTTAACTCTGTAAAACTGTGTTACTTTGCCTGTGTAAAATACCCAATTGCTCTAATAAAGAGCTGAACAGCCAATAGCTAGGCAGAAAAGAAAGGTAAGGCAGGGCTGCTAGGTAGAGAGAATGAATAGGAGGAGTGAGAAATGAAGAAAGAGAGGAGGATGCCAGGGACCAGCTACTCATCTACACAGTCAGCCATGGAGTAAAAAGGAAAGAAAGATATATAAAATAAAGAAAGGTAAAAAGTCCAGAGGCAAAATGTAGTTAAAGAGAAACAGGATAATTTAAGTTAAAAAAAGCTGGCTAGAAATAAGCCAAGCTAAGGCCAAGCATTCATAAG